AGTCAAACGGGCGCTGGATCCCATGTTTTCTCTTAGGACTTTTCCCAGTATTACATTTGCAGGATAATTGGGCCAAGGCATGCTCACCTTCAGAGCTTGGGAAGGCATGCTGGGCCAACATTTTGGGTTTAATAATAAAGTGACATGTGGATAAATACTTGGGAAGGCATACATAAGAAAACGGTAGAAAATTTTTGAAGTCGTTATTCCTAAGCTTTCCTCACTCAGGAACTTAAGGGAGCACTGTTTGTACTATGCTCGACCGATCCTGAAACTACTGAGCACCAGTCGTCATACCTTCAAGGACCCACTGAGGGGTTCATGCTGAGACACCCTTGCCGAAGCACAAGAGTTTCCCTCCAACCAAGAGGCCAATCACAGCACGACACATGTCAACATCAGAATAAAGCTCATATAGTCCCACATCGACTACGGAAAAAAGCTGGAGGCTCTCCTCAACTATAAAAGGAGGCCATTATCCTACAATTAATTCCTAATGTCATTATTTTACTTAAACTAGTCATTAGAACCCACTAATGATAATTATGCTTAAACTTATGCATTTGTGTAAACCCTTCACTATTAATGAGAATTCCTCTACTCCGTGGACGTAGCCAAACTTAGGGCGAACCACGTACATCTTGTGTTTGCTTCCCTATCTCTACCTCTTTACACATTCATCATCACTAGTTGACCAGAGCAACTGAGTGAAGGTCGCAAACTTGACACCTTACATTGTTGCAAAGTCTTCACTGATTTTGCGCATCAACAAATTTCAACACTCCAGATTGTGCCACATGGCACAATGGTAAGATTTCAAAATTTTAAATTGTTTTTTTTTTAATTTATAAAGCCGAATAACGTGGGTCGTTGATCTTAGATCCACCGGCTGAAATTAAATAAGGTTTTAATTTTTTTTTTTACCATTGGAAATCCAACGGTCCATAAAATGTTATCGTTGAAATCCAACAGACGTGGGGAAGCCACATGGCATCCTCAACGGTAACATTTTAAAAAAGCGCTGCAGGCCCCACGTCTGAAACCGTGTCGAACGACGCGCACCCATGCGCGCTTGAAGCGCACGCGCCTGACATTAAAAATAGAGAAAACGTGGCTGATGTCGTCCTGATGTTAGCCTTGCGTCATATCCACTTCAAGCTCTCAGGCCAGCGACTCCCCACCGACCTCTCGCTCCCCCTTAGGCTCAATCGCCAGCTTGGGCTGGACCTTCTTGCTCGGGCGTTTGGCATTGTTTGATAGCCAGTCCATCAGGCTATCAACTCTGATAGAGCTACTCTGAAAGTATGAGGAGATGGCGGGGAAAGTGTGATTTGATAAGAAAATGATCCTCGCCGGATTTTTTTTATGGAGATTCGACGGGATAAATTAATTATATTCGTTCATCGTACATCATGCAATCAGAAATCATTTTAAATTAAAATTTTAAAATTGAATATAAATAATAAATAATAAAAACGAACTGCATAATATATGATAAATGAACATGACTGATTGAATTTTCGAATCTCCACAAAGAAGATCCGAACTGGATCCTTTTCCGAGTAGAAGAATGAAATGTAGGATAGTAGGACTGATAGTAGGAGGAGACGGCCCGGAAAGTGTGATTTGATCATGCTCAGAGACATGACAAGCTTTTGCAGGCATCGTACAATATAGACTCTTATCAGTCTCGTTAAAAAATCTACCAATATAGTCATCGTACGATATAGTCATGAGTTTATCCCGTCGTAAATAATTTGAATCCTTTCTTAAAAATCTGCCAATATCATCGTTAAGTGGAGAGTTTGGTTTGATAAAAATTTTCTTAAAATGGTAGTCACGTGGTTGCTCACGTAACATTTATAAAGGATATTTTGATAGATTTATCAGAAAATTATCAAAATGTTTTACCACGGACAGACTCCGGGAATATTTCTATTAATTTTCATTGTCAGAGACTAAATTGAGGAGTTATGCTAATCTTATGAATCATTTTTTGCTACAGAGGAAATTCACAACTGTTGCCATTTACAACAACCATTTGTTGATCAAAAATCCAATTAGATATAGGAGAAGCAGTCCCTTGCTAAACATTTCATGTTAGTCATTTCTTCGCATTCTCACATCATAGTGTAGTAATACTAGATGGTGGATACACTCATTATTTTCTTCATGATTTTAAATTAGGGGTGTGATATCCACACATTCCATTTTACTTCTCACACACCCTTGATAATTTATGTCCGTTGATCTTCTTCAATTCATCCGATCCGACAATCGAAAATTAAAAAGGTGTGTGAGAAGTAAAATGGGATGTGTGGATATCACACCTCTTAAATTAATGAACTCAAGAAATGGATGCCATTTTTTTGCCACTCAAAATGATAGTATTCATCAAATATAGCTTCTTATAAATTTTGTTGTTTAATTGATGAAAGGTGACGGGCATAGTTAGTAAACTTGTGTCTTATACACATATTCTATCTTCTGTACATGTTTTAATGATTTGTTAAATTGCGTGTTTTTTTTAAGTCTAACATACAATATATGTTTAAACATGTACTACGTACTTTTTACGTTTAATACACTTTACTATCACACATTTTTCAATAATACATATAAATTTCATGTATTAAATACATATCTTTAAAATAAAATAATTAATTAAAATGAATAAATATTAAGATTAAAAATACGTAGCCGAATTTTTCAAAGTGAAGTTTTAGCAAAGTTGTCCAATAATACACATATGTATTTTTTTCGCAAACTATACTAATTCCGTATTTTATGAACTAAGATCAGGAGCTAAAAGGCTATACATATTATTTGTTGCCTAAACTTTTTCAATAGCCCGGATTTTACTTTTAAATGTTAGCGCTCCTACGCTACAAGGTTAACTTGATTATTTTTCATTAAAAAAAATTAAAAAAAAAAACTTGATTAACTAATGCTTGGTGGTTCAAGTGGTAAGAAGCTTGTTCCCCCCTAAGCAAGGTCTCGAGTTCGAGCCTTGTGAATGAAAAATCTAGTATTGGGAGAGCTTGCCTCCCGAATGGGGTTTGATCCGGCTCAAGGGATTAGTCCTCACCTATGTGTGGGGGATACTCTGGATTCATCCAAAAAAAAAAAAAACTGGATTATGTTAAATGAGTAAAAACTAATTAGGTTTTTAAGGAGGGAATTCCTAGGTAAAAAAATTATGAATTTAAGGGTTAATTAATCTCCCTCTGAAAATCAGATTCACATGGAGGTGGGGGTGGGGTGGGGGGTTGTGGGGGAGGTGGGGGTAGGGTGGGATGGGGTAGGTTTTTGGATGGGAGGGGAGGGGAAGAGAGTGGAGGAGAGGTAGGTGGGTTGGGGGAATGGGATTTTGGGTTACAGTTTTTTTTTTAGGTAGGGTGGAATGGGGTTGGTTTTTTAATATGGTAAATTATTATAATATTTTAAATGCATAAAAAATTATTTTTCTACCACGTGGCACAAATTTAGCAGCCACGTTAGCACAAATATGGCAGCTACGTCAGCACTTAACAGACCAATGAATGAAAAATGTAACGAATGTATTATATTAAAATAAAGGGTAAATTACACTTTCATACCTCAAGTTTGGGATCTATTTCAATTTCTTACAACATTTTCAAAACATTTCACTTTCATACCTTAAGTACTATTTTATTTCAAAATAATATCTCCGTTACATTTTCCATCCATTGATCTGTTAAATGCTGACGTGGCTGCCACATATATGTCACGTGGCTGCCAAATATCTGCCACGTGGCAAATAAAAAAAAATTTAAAAACCTGAATTTTCTCAAAAAAAGAAAAAAAAATTGAAAAAAAAAAAATGAAATCCATTATCCCTCTGCCCCCCCCCCCAGCGACCCACATCCCTATCCCTAACTCAAAACCCAAAAACCTGGTGCAGCAACAAGAAGAAGATGAAGAAGAGGGAGGAAGAAGAAGAAGAAGAAGAAGAAAAAAAAAAAAAAAAAAAACCTATAGCAGCAGTAGGAGGAAGAAGAAGAAGAGGGAGGAAGAAGAAGGAGGAAAAAAAAAAACCCAAACCCAGCTCATCCCACCCCCCCCCCCCCTCGGCGCCGCATGACCTTCCCCCCTTCCCCACCCCCCTCGGGTCAAGATCTCGTGATTTTTAGTATGGGGGGTTTTGAAAATACTTTGAGTTTGAGATTATTTTTGGACTGGTTTTGTGGTAGATCCATCTAATTTTGGGTGGAATTTTTGTGGGTGATGGGGGATTTTGGGGAGGGGTGATGGGGAATGGGAGAAATGGGTGGCTCGGGTGGGACGAACTAGGGCTTTTATTTTTTTCCCTCCTTCTTCTTTTTGCAAGTTTTTGGGTTAAGGTCGTTTTGGGGGGGGGGGGGGGGGGGAGGGGGGGTGGGCAAAGTAAGGCACTGGTTTCAATTTTTTTGAGAAAATTTAGGTTTTTTTAAAAAAATTAAAAATATATTTTATTTGCCACGTGACAGACATTTGGTAGCCACGTGGCATATATGTGGCAGCCACGTCAGCATTTAATAGATCAACAGATGAAAAATGTAACAGAGGTATTATTTTGAAATAAAATAGTACTTAAGGTATGAAAGTGAAATGTTTTAAAGATGTTGTAAGGAATTGAAATAGACCCCAAACCTGAGGTATGAAAGTGTAATTTACCCTAAAATAAAATAATACATGAGATATGAAAGTGAAAGTTTTTGAAGATGTTATATGAAATTGCAATAGATCTCAATTCTGACGTGGTAAAGTGTAATTTACCCTTTAAAAAACTTATTAGCTTCTTATACTCGACTCTAAAGAAAATTGTTATCTTGCACTTTCAAAATAAAAAACGTTACAAAAAGTGGAAAGCACAAAAACTGAAGGCAACCCATGAAGTAAAAAGGCCAAAAGCAGATGAAATTAATTAAAAGATGAAAACTCAAGCCTCATGTCATGCACAAAAATTAAATAGGAGAAAATGGAACTTTCCCCACAACTTACTTGACATGAACAATACTTGTCACATAAATAAGAGCTTCAAAATCAACAACCCTATTGAGAATAGGAGGAATATGAAGATACTTGAGATTTCCGGTACTTGAATTATAAGATGTGGCTCTTTTATCAGAGTCAAGCATAAGAAGCTCGTCATTTTTCCAAAATATCAATGGCTTCTTAATGCCTTGTAAGGGTCCAATTGTTAATAGTTTTGTCCATGAACTCTTAACTCCATCATAATCGTCCATTACCCATATTTCACATGATTCAGAATCCTCACTCCGATCGTAACGAGAGCAAAAAGAAGCAAGGGATTCATTCCGCAGAAAAATATAATAAAACCTAAAACCGGATTTTGTCCTACAAGGCAATTGTATTATATGAAATGTCTCATCACCTAAATCAAATGAAAGTATATATTCCTCGCCATCTGTTGCATACCAATAACAAAATCCCTTCATGTACACTGAACAAGAACAAGAATAGGTTGTACTTGATATATCAATCTTAATCTCTTTCCAAGAGTTAGTATCCGTGGTGTATACCTCAGCCGTGTGAGGAAGAGCAATACGATGATAATATGTTCGCTCATCATCTGAATACTCACAATTTTCTATAATTCGCACAACCTTGTATTCTTTAGCATTGCAATCATAGCCAAATCCTAATGCCTGAAAGGTGGTTTCCAATTCAAATTTTCCCTTGGGAGGGAAAGGTAGAAGAAGGCATGAAACGGGAAGTTGCCTGAATTCTCTTGTGCCAGGATTGCACAAAAGAACATTTCTCCCTGCTTCTACACAGACAATCCCATTGCAATAACCGAAAATCAATACAAAATCATGATCTTCCAATGGAAACGGTATATTTAGGTCCTCAACATCATAATGAAGATTGTGCTCATCACTATCAATGGAAAGATTAATCATGGACCAGAAAACCTCTTGTTTCCAACTCTGGTCTGGGAAAATGTGAGCCTGAGAACGGTTGAGAAGGATACAAGTGGAGGATGAGAGTTTGTTGTCCACGGAATTGCTGAGGTGTTTGGCCACAAAACTTGGACTATTGATGAGAGAGAACCAAGACTTGCGTATGCATTTGAACCGCATCAACGACTTGGGCGGCAACCTGGACATAATTTCAACCACCCTATCTTCAGGAGTTTCACTTTCATGCACATAGGACATTACGACAGTTTTGTTTACAAGAAAAAACATAACCAGTTTGAGAGCCAAACTAAATCCAACTCCAAGTCCCTAAAGCTTGGTAGATCGAGGTTCAATGACTAAACATAGTACCATATAAGGTGCCGAAATTCAACATTACTAAATAAACTCGGAGTTCCACAACCACAACATATATAGCTATTAAAGAAAACAGGGGTCATCCACAGTTGGTGTCTTTTGGTTTCCAAACAAAATAGGGGAACTTCAGTCAGTTTCGAGTTTAATGGATGATCATACGTTTAAATTTTATTATTTTTATCGATAAAAAAGGAAAATTGATAAAAAAAAAAAAAGGGTTACAAAACTTCGAATTTTAACTAAAAATCATGTAATAACTTTATTTAATAGTTAGGACAAAACCTAATATCAAATCAGCCTAATAAAACTGATCTAAGCAAAGTAATTTATCGAGCTTCTGATTTTACCCCTAACGTCAAGTCTTCACCCATTTATTTGGCCCGTTTCCTTCTGATGGATAGAGAAAAGGTCTATAACCTCAGATTAATTTCTCTCTCTAACGTCTGTCATCATCCGATCTTCTTCTCGGTCAAACTCTGAAAATGGCGACGGAAATCGTGATGGATGTGATAAACAGGTGCAGCTTATCCAGTTAGACTCGCGGTCCCACGACTCACATTGCAGAAAGTGGAGAAGCGAGGCTTCGGGTTTGCTGACTTGCGCGCTGGTGTAAAGGAAGCAAGGCTTGGAGCATGACCTTATCGAAGAAGGAGTGCTTTCCGTAGCGGCTGGAGCCACAGTACTTGGAGTTTTGGTCGTTGTGAAGGCGTCGTAGGTGGCCTGGCAGAAGTTCCTGAAGCAGAGGAAGAGGGTTCGGAGATTGAAGTCTAGAGGGTCCAAGAGGCCACTAGTTAGCCCCGGTAAAGCCCCCTGACCACGGATTTTTTTTGAAACGAGGCCCTCTAAAACCTCCCAGTTTTCTGAGCCTAGGAGCTCTGACCATGTTGTATGATCAGCTCTTTGGTTGGTGGTCATGGACCATGGTCATCGGATGGAGAGGGAGAGTAATAGAGATGTTATGGGACACAAAAGTTTAAGATGGGTTTGGAAAGAGAATAATTGGGTTTAAATAGAATTTCCCATAGGATATCTACCGTTTGAATGGATTGTGAAGGCGATAAGAACTGTCTGGTTTCGGTTGTGATTTAGGAGAAATTTTTGATTGTGACCGAAATACGAGTGGTATATCATTTGCTTTTATATAAGTAGTGAAAATTTTTATTTTATAAGTTACTAATTTTTTAACACACTATCTTACCATTTACATAGTGATGTGTGGTCACACTAAAAAAATCTATCGTGATTTTGATGGAACTCTGCCAATTTTGTAGTATTCCGTTGGGGTTGCAAAAAGGAGGGAAACATGGGTTGATAAAAGTGGGGAATCATGGTTTTGGTTCTGTGAATTTGACAAACCTGCGCTTAAAATGAAGATTTGAAAAAGACAATGTATTGATGGGGATAGCAAGCCAGTAAGTATACGTGGCCTGTTATATGTGTTATTTTATTTTGTAATTTTGTAATTTTTGTAAAAAAAAATGATTTACATGAAATGAATTTGTCGTGATATATTTTGTCTAAAAAAAACTTAATACAGTTTTATTATTCTAGGCTCGTTGAGTCACTACGAGAGAGTGATTAGAAAGTTATGGTTTAGGACAGTAATCATTTACTATTAATTTGATAATTCTTTGATACTAACCCATGTTCCAAAATTTTCAATTAGAAATTAATATGCAGAATATAAATATCGCTCGGTTGATTACCTTCTTTTGTTTGTCTAATTGTAGGTTTTATTGATTTTAGTATTATCAAACTTGTGATTGTCTTATTGAATTGCCACTTGTAATTTGTAAATACAAATATGCGCTGGCATTAGCAGTGTTCAATTTGAGGAACAATCATTGTTTAGTTCTAGAAATAGTCAGTATTCAATTAAAGAATTACTTATGTTCAGTTCTAGAAATGATCAGTGTTCAATTTTAGATATAATCAGTATTCAATTCTAAAAATAGTGGTAGCGCAACTTTTTAAAAACCTACAACAATCTCAAATTCTCTTTATATATAGCTTATGAAATCTGTATTAATCTTACGTTGATTCTATAAATATTTCAATAAGCATTTCAACACAATTTTGATTTTGAACCTTCCTCAGTTTAAATCCTTCTCAATTCAATTCCTCGCATTTCGTTTTCTAGTTTATAAATTAGTAAGTGAACCATTATTCCTTCTCATTATAGTTCTTCTAATTTCAGTTACAAATTTTAATACACACCACAAATGTAGTTGAAACTCCTCTCAAGCCACATTATCCAAAAAATAAAACACACAACCTGGCCCAAATGCCCTTGAGAGTTAAGATTAGTCGAGAGTTAATAAATTCAATTTTAATTTTATATGATTGATGTTCTACAAGTAAAAGAGTATACGGCTATGGGAGGTACATGTGGAATATATTGACCCAGCTTGACTGGGCTCTAAATTTAATTAGTAGAAGATATCATATTCGACGGGAAGGAAGTACTTCTCACATCACATGCATTCAAACCAAAAGCAGACGCTAAAAAGAGGAAGACGCAGAGGGAAGCAGTTTGCGTCGTGCTCAAAATACCTAACAAACCTCCGTTGTACGCCATGCACTATTTTCTCTCTCGAATTTAACAAATTTGAATTATCAATTCATTCCTCACAATCACATGCATGGACAAATATACCAACATTCAGCACTCATTAGAGCATCTCCATTGAGGAGCCCTACATAGAGTTAGAAAAGTGATAGATATAGCCTATTTTAGAGCTCTGAGAAATCTTTGAGGTTTTTAAAAAAAATCTCTCACAATTAGGGGCTATATATTTTGGACTATATATGGGACTATATATATATATATATATATATTTATATAGTAATTTGATTAAGAGATGATTTTTTTGTTTTTTTGGTAGCTTTTCCTAAATTGATTTTTGGACGTGCTATTTTAATTTTTTTTTTTTTTATGGACCTTTCAACCTAAAAAGTTCAAAATGTGACAAAGTTAGATTTAATCACTTATGAATTGTTCATTGTATTAGATTCTCTTATCTCAATCTCATCTGTTGAAAAAAACAAACCTCTATTTCGCCCTCTGAAATAATTTAATTTTTCAAGTATAACACAATAATTTACTTAACACTAATTGGCAAATTAGTATCATACAATTTTGAAAAGGCTTCAAATGTAATAGATTCGTGAAGGATAAAGTTCCCATTAAAAATGCTCTTACATCACATGCATGTGCAAACATGTCCTGCAAACATAGACACAACCAAACAAATGATTTAATGAGAGTGTGGCCCCAATAAACTTTTCACGCAGTTCGAGGTGTATTGGGAAAGTTCAACTTTCAAACTCTAAGAGGTCCATTTCAGTTCAGGCTGCATATGAGTATTCTGTAAAGTCCTAAGGGTGTGTTTGTTGCATCGGATTATTTTGGATTAGATTAGTTTTATAGACTAACTTAGACTGATTTAGATTAGACTAAGTTGAACTGATTTAGTGAAGCGTTTGGTACAGTGTCAGACTAAGAAGCAGAATAATGAAAATAGTATTGTCCATGGTTTGGTGTTTACAAATTATTGTTCAATTTTAAATTCTTTCAACCACGAACTATTACTGTACGATTAACAAGAATTAAACCAATATTATACAAAAAAAAAAAAAAAAGAAATCTATTGTAGCAAAAACTTTCGATGACTCAAATTGATAGGCAAATAGAACCAAATTTGCAGTTTAGAAGATGAATGAGCCTTGTATAAGATTTATTGAACATTGGTTATGGACTCCAAATCCTCATCAGCAGTATACATTACAGCCAATATGAGCAATTGATACCGATTGCACAAAAAAGTCAGAGATCCTTGAAAATGGACAAGGGCATGCATAATAGCTTCCAGTGTACCAGTCTTGGTGGCATAGATCTTGTCTGCAAGGATCACAGGCCTCCTAGAAGACACAATGCTCGAGCTTACTACCTGAGAGTTCGTAGTAATACATAGGTGTTTGCCATCTACCATCCCAGAATCCACCAAATATATAGCACAACTGCAACAATCATTTACATCCACAACTCCCCCTATTTGCCCAGCAGCATTTTGCAGTGTTCTCTTCTATAACCAATTCTTCCACCATCGTAAAGCATTAAAGCAATAATTCTTTTGTTAGTGAAGAGGTGATTTTTCAAATGCTTCTCAGATTCAGCTTCGTTTACAAATGACATGACAAGAAAATCGACTCCTTGAGAGAGTTTGAATTCAATGTTAGACAGATCCTTAGTAGACAGAGTTGGGAGCTCATAGTTCCCCTCCACAAGCTTTCTATCTCTCCAAAACCTGAATTTGGCTCGAAGCATGAATAGACCAGGGTGTGTGCACTTACAACGCATGAATTTGGCTTCTCATTCAGCCGTTTGATCTTCTTAATGACATCGCGGTGCGACTCACTCATGTTGTGAAACATATTGAGCCCTGCCACATTCATCAAATAAGGTTCTTCCAAAGTGTTTTGTGATCTCAGAAGTGACCCAAATGCATTGATGCCCTTTTCGCCCATGGCTTTGTCAGAGAGCTTAAGATACCTCAAGACACATCCGTCCAGGGCCGAAGAAAATACGTTCGCGACTTGAAGAGCTTCTTCTTCTGACCTTCCTGCAGTATCAAAAACACTTTCACGGATAACAGTTGCTTTCTCATATTGCATCACTTGTAGTAGACAAGAAAAATGCACTGCATGATTGATGAAGTGCAGCTGTGGGATAAAAAATTGAGGGTACATGTCACAATGGTTCTCCTGGTGCTTAGAACAGAGTAGCACCCCTAGAATTTTAGCTACTCTGCCTCCCGGATCCCATCCATTCCATAATTCACCACTAGTTCTGCAAAACTGATAGCATACAACCATGTTATGAAAAAGAGGGGTCATTC